AGAAAGAGCAAGCTGAAGATCTGATTCAGAATAAGTTGATAAGTAACTGCGTTGTTGAGACATAATGTGATGTAGTGTCGACGTTGACGCGCTGGTGGGGCGCGACCGATTCGCTTGGGCAACCGATTCGCTTGTGAACCACGTTAATTACAATGCTAGGTTAATGTTGACATCTCTTTTCCTTCCAGGCCATGAAACAAATCATGTCTTGTGCTTTTTGGGAGCGCCAGACAAACTACACAATAGTCGACCCTAACTCCGATCCTACTTGCGAACATTCACAAAAATCGCGCCGTCGAGGATTAAACATTTTAGCCTTTCTGAGCTTCTTGGTCTTTACTCTTCTTGTTATCAATATCCTTGTCGCACGCCAACTACATCTGCTACCACACGGCATTCCGAGAACTCCAATAGCTATCCAACACTGTGGCAACAGCCCATCTGAAGCAAGAGCTCGTGGCTGCGTCTTTGAGTCTAGCAATCTAGCGTGGGTGCCAGCAGAGTGTTATGATAAGGAGATTAGTGATGAATGGGACGCCAAGAGTTGGGTATACGCCTATGGCATCAATAAGCAAAATGTAACCCTGGAGGAGGTGTTGAAAGGTGATTTGGACCATGTATGGGTAACTTGGAGTCAACATATTGCACATTGTGCACTTATGGAACTCAAGTTTCAACGAGCCGTTCAATTCAACTGGCCTATGAACAATTGGACAAGTCACTATGCGCATAGTTTACATTGTGCCAAGAGCTATACTGAGTGGGATTTTATGAAAACCCCTAATAAACTTAACTCTAAGATATTTATAAAGTTCCCAGTATGTAGCTATAGTTGGCAGGATGCAGTATTGTAGATGAAATGATAAGGCGTTATTTATAAGTGGCTACGCCCTAGGCAGTAATTGTGAAGCATATAAAGAGTTATGTTTAATGGTCCCGCATCAAAATCCAACCCTGTTTCTCTCTGACATGATCTGACTGTTTGTTCTAGCAATGAACGCGCTTTTACCTCTATTCATGGTCGTGATATGTTCTTATCTCATTATTCTGGCTCAATAAACTCAAACACCATTATCACGCTACTTTGTTGTTCAGTCCAACTACTCATGCATGTCGTGAGAAGAAAATGCCTTCTACTTATTATCTTGGCATAGCACTGCCTTAGCTATCATTACTACTCAGGTACCACGAGTGATTGCCTATCAAACTGCCAAAGATGAACTCACGGTGCTGCTATATATCGATGATTTGTAACTGGTGCTTGGTCTGCGCGTCATTCTCTTTCATGTAGTTATGAAATGGTGGATTCATACCTCGACATGGTTTACTGAAAGCATCGTATATGCGCGCTTTGCCAACGTTATATATGTTGAGATTATTGGCGTTGTTGATACCAACAGGGTACCTCCTGGTTGTGAGCCTGGGTACATGGCTCCATTATCCAAAATTTACATAAAGAATAAATTTACGGCTTATTATCTGGGATGTTGTGAAGCTCTAAAGTTGCGATGAGAAGTGACCAGGGAGGCACGACCGCGCTACACGAACCAACTTTTGGCGACTAATTATAAGATCCGAACATTAAGGTCAAGGTCGTATGATTAGAACTCCTTACTCGCATACCACTAACTAAGCTCAGACGCCTTCTTTATGATCTCCTTCAATGCCGGCATTTTCCTTCCGCCTTTCTCTCCTTCACTCAACACATCTTCTAGCATCCTACGGTCTTGCTTTGCAACCTTTCCGCCATGGTGAAACGCGTTAAACATGGCATAATCGAGTGGCTTGGCGTTCACCTCGAAAGGTGCGTGCATCTGGACGGCGAACCAGTCTCCTACCACAAAGGATAAAAGCCAACCTGTCCAACCGAAACGTGGAAGGTTTAGAATCTCCGTTTGTGCGCGTAGCATCAGATTCCAAAGCTCAGTATTCGCGCGGAACTGCTTGAATGGGCCAAATCCATCAATGTTCCATGCCACCAGCTGCAACATGGAGAGAGGTACGACATATGGCGCTAGGAATCCTGGAGCTCGCTGAATTCCTTGTTTGCCCTTGACGTCATAGAATGCCTCAAGTTTCTTCGTCAGAGAAGGCTGTGTATTCATTACAACCAAAATCATGCCTGCTGATGGGGTCGAGTAAAGGATGTCTGCTTTCGAAGCTAAGGATTTGTTCGCTGTTTCTGGGATCGGAATCTGAGGTGTCGGTTGATGCGCAAGTAGGCTTACGCCAAACAGAAGACGGCTCCGAGCGATTCCTAAAGTGCTCAGGTAGTGTTCTTCAATGTCTAGACCGGCTGCGTCGTATACGACAAAGGAATTTGCGTTTTGAGGCTCCTTGAGAAGCTCGCCGACTGAACGGATTGTCGCGGTCCCAGACTCCGACCGTGCAGTATATCCATCCAAAGTGTCAAAGACGAATGCAAACTCTTCGCCTTTGACTTCTGAAACCGACTCGATGACGCGGTAGGATGAAAATTCATGTAATGTGTCGTCTTTATAGGAGTAAAGATGCTTTGGCGGCTCGAAAGCGGGCTTGCGGCCGGGGCGGACAAGGTAGGTACAATCAGCACTATGCGAAATGTGGTAACCTTGAGACAACCCGACGGCACCACAGCCAACTATCAAAACTTTAGGCTTCGGCATGTTGAAGGTTGTGTTCTCGCGTATTCGTGTGTTGCTGAGCAGTTACTGTTTGTACTGAACTGAGTATTGTGCTGTTGTTTGGCTCCGACGCTAATTTTTGACCGAACATGTTCGTCCGTCCGATTTGTAGCCTCCGATAGCACGTACTTGGTTGCGCGTCAGCAATACTTGCCCACATTAAGCGAGGAGGGGAAGGTGCTCTATTTCTAGTCACGAATTTGGCTAGCTAGTAATACGAACGGTAGCATGGACGGAAGGGAATGATATATGAAATCAAGAACACGAAGTTTGCATCCAATCTATACATCGACGCCGCGAGCTACCAAAGAAGAGCCCCTCTTAGCGGTATGGCAAAGGTTAAACGACTTCGTGGTAAGTAGGGGCCTATGTTAATAGGCTCAGCCGAGGTACTAGTGATGACCTTTGTTTCTTTCACTAACGATACTATACATATCATACATAATATACATTTTTAGTGACTTGTACACGAATTAGGTAGGTAATTATACACTGGACGTGGCAATCCCTCACGCTCTCCGTTAGATGAATCAGCCTTCGTGAAAGGGATTAATTTCAGTTGCTTCTAGCTAACGCTAAGACCTGATGGCATCGATAGTCTCAACAGTTGGAAACGTGTACTCGCCATTAGTGAATGCCTCGGCTGGTGAGTAGAACCGAATCGAGTACAGAAGCTTACCGCCACCCACCGGGGCCGGAAGCCAGCTGTATAAGAAGCCTTGAGTTAGCCATTTTATACTTTCAAGATGCTAATCCAAGACGATTAAAAAATCGCAAAGAGAGGGCCAACTTACTTGCTGGTCCAATTATCTGGTAGGGGAATATCAGCAGGCTGCAGTAAGACCTGAAATCTGCCATCCGCCGTTCCATTTCCAGCGCTGGAATCATTTCCATACACCAAACCTCCACTCTCAAATTTCAACTGTGTGCTGCGGTCTCCAATGACGTATCTTCCCAGCTTGTTGGGCACCAGATATTGATCCGCGCCATACACAGTCAAACTCCAAAACCCAGTTGATTTGATTGGGGGTTTGCCGAAGAAAGTAAATAGAAATGCGGAATTCGCACTTAAAGTCACATTATCGGATTTATTCGTGATGAAGAGGTTCTCGGATTGTACGAGGCCCAGATAACCGCGGAGTGCGCGGTACGCACGACAGCCGTATTCAGTGCCGAAGATGCCTTGACATTCCACCTTGGGAATTACCCAGTTGTTGCCAACATCAATCAGGTTTTGAGAATAAGCTGCGGAGATGCTTGCGTTTGCTGCGACGGTGGCAGCGGTGAGATTGATTCCAGGAGGTGGGGTGTATACTCCATCTGCAATGCCAGCAAGGCCAAGTTTCGATGCTACACGATACCGGTCTGCATACACATCGGGTTGGTTGAACTGTCCAATCTTTGCCAGCAGGTCTAGATAGCCTGTGACTCTGTTCGGGGCGTTCGAAGTGTCAATGAGGGCACGTGATAGTCGAAGTGCTTGTGCTGCAAACAGCTGAGACATTGTACGTGAGACTGTCCTGAGGAAAGTTTGGTCTTGATAACTGCGTATGGTCTCAATATCGCTCATAGTGTTTTGATGTACAAGAATACGGCCGAGCAGGATACCGTAGGTCGTAGCATAAGAGATTACGCCTTTGTAGGTTGATAATTCAGCCGGAGTGGTGTATCTGATTCCGGGCTGGACAAGAGCATCATCTGCACGTCTGATCAGATAGTCTCCCGGGGGAGAGTTCGTGTTGATTGATATTCCCGCAAAATTGTTGCCATAACTTTGATCAGTCAGTCTTTGCTCCATCTTATTGACATCCAGCAGGACTCACATGTCGTAAAAAGGCCATATCCAGTTCCTTCCATCACTGATATTGGGAATGGTTAGGACAAGGTCTTCATGCGACAAGTCGATAGCGGCCCAGATATACAACGTGTCTGCATTAGGCCCAACTATTGTGCGATTTAGAGGACCGGAAAGCGTATGGTAGGGCCATAGTGTGTTTGTTTTGTTGACGGCATCGAGAATATTTCTTACGGCTTGTTGCCATTGAGAAACAGGATATGCATACTGAATAATCGTCAAGAGAGAGGTGATATGTTCTTTCAAATGCTTCACGCACCTGAATTGCGAATGCTGTGGCGTCTTGAGCAGCACTGTTGTAAGAGGTTGAAACATTCGTCGCTCCCGCGCGCGGAACCAGGTATTCCAGGCATGCACTGGTAGCGAGGAGATAACTACTCAACTTCATGTTTCTTAGTAATGTCCCTCCCCGAGTGCTGGGACACCCGCCGTGCTGGGACAAATGAGGGGTACTTTGACTTTCAGCACTTCGCTTTCTATGTCCACGCTGAGAATCGCTAGTAACTTGTGTTGCCTGTGTGCTAGAGGTATTCATAAACATATCTTAACACTTCTACCTAAAAATTACATCGCTATTACTACTCTTATTGCGTAAGTTACAATAGACCTTTCTTTCGTGCACGACGGTGTTGCTTTGCTACAATCCTGTATAGAACCTTGCAGCGTCTAAGAAACTCTAAGAGATCGCAGTTATGTCTAAGTGACCTTACGACAGCGCGGTAAGCTACGTTTGGCCTTGTGGCGCCTACAACACCTATATTCATACAAGATCGCAGTCGTGATCAGTACCTCGGCTCGTTCGAAGCGGCTCTGCAAATCTTATGTAACTATGTTTACGTAGTTGGTAAACTAATAATTATATCTCTAGCGGCTGTTAGGGCTGTGGCGCAGCACTAGTAGGCGGTTTGAGCATATGAGCTCTAGCGGAGGTCGTCCTTAAGGGAGACTGTTAACAACTAGACCTGTAACTGCTACATATCGATTACTTATAACTATTACGCCGGAAAACTTGTACTATACTTCTATCAATATGAGTCCATGTAATTATAGCGCTAGAGAATTCTAAGCAAAACCACACGGCCAGACATAAGCCCTAGACAAGCTACTTGGTCGTGTACTATAGTCAAGCTTGATCGACACTCTGGCGGAAGCCATAGGAAGCGTTGTTGGTTGCGGAATATCCACTGATCCTGCACTCGAATATACGAGCACCGCGACCTTGGCTTCAAGAGTGATGTGCCAACTATAGCTTGAGGTAAAGGGATATCGCCTTGGTACGTGTGAAGTACCCGGCTATCTGGCGAGAAGCTGATATACGAAGTGAAGCCATAAGGGCTATCTAGCGTACTGCGACATGTCCCTGTCGCCGCTTCCCACAGCTGTACTGTGTTGTCTTCAGATGACGACGCGACTAGCTGCCCATCTGGCGAGAAGGCCACCGCCCTAACCCGCTCGGAATGGCCCTTGAGCGTACTGCGACACGTTCCCGTTGACGCTTCCCACAGCCGTACTGTCTTATCAAAAGATGCCGATGCAACTAGCTGCCCGTCAGGCGAGAAGGCTACCGCCCAGACATCTGAGGAATGGCCCTTGAGCGTGCTGCGATACGTCCCTGTCGCCGCCTCCCACAGCCGTACTGTCATGTCATTAGACGCTGACGCAACTAGCTGCCCATCTGGCGAGAAGGCTACCGCCCAGACATCTGAGGAGTGGCCCTTGAGCGTGCTACGACACGTCCCTGTCGCTACTTCCCACAGCCGTACTGTCTTATCTAAAGATGCTGACGCAACTAGCTGCCCGTCTGGCGAGAAGGCTACTGCGTTGACACTCCTAGAATGGCCCTCGAGCGTGCTGCGACATGTCCCTGTAGCCACCTCCCATAGCCGTACTGTGTCTTCGAAAGATGCTGACGCAACTAGCTGCCCGTCTGGCGAGAAGGCTAACGCCTTAACACTTGTAAAATGGCCCTCGAGTATGCTGCGATACGTCCCCGTCACTACCTCCCACAGCCGCACTGTCTTGTCAGAAGACGCTGATGCGACTAGCTGCCCGTCTGGCGAGAAGGCCACCGCCCAGACATTCATGGAATGGCCCATGAACGTGCTGCGACATGTCCCCGTTGACGCCTCCCATAGCCGCACTGTTGTGCCCCCATTTGCCAATGTGACTAGCCGCCCGTCTGGCGAGAAGGCCACATCGTGGGCATACGATGAACCGCCCTTGAGCGTACTGCGATACCTCCCTGTCGCCGCCTCCCACAGCTGTACTGGGTTTTGGTCTAGCGAGAATGATCCAGCGTTGACAAGCGAGGAAATGCCCTCCAGCGTGCTGCGACACGTCCCCGTCGCTGCCTCCCACAGCCGTACTGTCTTGTCGCCAGATCCCGACGCGACTAGCTGCCCGTCTGGTGAGAAGGCCACCGAGTTGCCTAAAGATGCTGAGGCGACTAGCTGCCCGTCTGGGGAGAAGGCCACTACGCCGACATATGAGGAGTGGCCCTCGAGCGTGCTGTGGCACGTCCCTGTCGCCGCTTCCCACAACCGCACTGTCTTGTCGTCAGACGCTGACGCGACTAGCTGCCCATCTGGCGAGAAGGCCACTGCGCTAACTCGCTCAGAATGGCCCGCGAATGTGCTACGACACGTTCCTATCGCCGCTTCCCACAACCGCACTGTCTTGTCATCAGACGCTGACGCGACTAGCTGCCCGTCTGGCGAGAAGGCTATCGCTGTAATATATGAGGAATGGCCTATAAGCGTGCTACGACACGTCCCCATCGCTGCCTCCCACAGCCGCACTGTCTTGTCATAAGATGCCGACGCAACTAGTTGCCCGTCTGGCGAGAAGGCCACTGCGCCAACACCTGAGGAATGGCCCTCGAGCGTACTGCGACACGCGTCCCAGTCGGCTTCTTTCGTAGATAGCATCTTGACCTTTTCTGGCACTTGGTCTACAAATGTTTGTCGTATTAGGCTCTTCTCTGGTGCGAACACTAGCGCTGAGTAATAGATCTGCAACGGTGAATCTGCAAGCACAGATTGGAACCGCAACACGAACCGCTTAGCGTCATGAAGAAAGTCTAAAACTAGCTCTGAAGAGGGCTATATTATATATTAGTAGAGTTGTAGGAAGATTTCCCTATGAAGATCTTACAGTAGTAATTGCCTGAAGGCTGTTAAGCAAGTTGACGCATGTGCTCGATTCTCTTACAAGGCTCATAGCTTCAAGCCAATGAAGAAGGTGCTTCTGTAGAAAGAGATGCGTCACGTCCCTGTCGACGATGCCTTGCCCACTCTGCTTGAGATGGTCAACCCAGTAGTGACACGCATATTGTAGATCAGGCGGCAGCCTAGTAGCAACTGTCTGCTCATCTACCTCACTCCTTAGTACTCCAGGGCCTGGAAGGCCGCACATGTCCTGATAAAGACCGCCAGATCCAGACATAAGCTCAAGGCAGCGAGATGCAAGCTTCTGGTGTGTCCTTTTCTCATCCACCCAGAACGGGCTCTTTCCTTGCTTTTGGGGGTCGAGGAGGAACTCGCGAAAGGACAGGTGGAGTGGCCTGATAGGAACGTCCTCCCTTTCAGGAATACTAAGAACGGAGTGCAGGGCATCTAACCGGCATTCGACTTGTTTCTTCGGAACTTGAAGGAGGCGCGCAAGGGGGCCTATAGGAAGTGGACTTGCTAAGATGACTATGCTACCTACGAGTTCACGGAAGACGCGCAGCCAATCTTCTCTATCTCTTTCTTCCTGCTCAAAAAGCAACTGATCCAGGACGGGAAGGTAGGTTCGGTCGAGCTGTGAAAAAGCTGTTTTTGGATACTGCAAGACCTTGTTTAGGTACACTTCAGGGTCGCCTCCTTTACTACCAATATACCGACACACAGTGGCAGCGTAGATGAATAACGGCATAGCTAACTCAACTAGCGCTAGAATATGTTGTTGGGCTGGCCAGTCTGAGGCTAGCATGCGTTCTTTTCGTATTATACTAAGCTTATGCTCTAGGAATAGACGGATATCATGCTCGATCGTGCTCCTTGGTACTTCGTGGAGCACTAGGTCTTGGTACGTGCCGTTTGGCATCTTCTTGAAGCCCAGACGGATGTGGAGTTCTGGCCGACTGGTGACCACGATCCGTAGCGGCACTGGGCGAATGTCCTTCGTCTGAGCGAGCAGCTGAAGGATCGCTCGAACATCTGCTTCTCGCTCACATTCGTCTAGCGCGTCGATAACGACAACTTGCGCCAAGGCCCGCGAGCGAGTCTGCTTTATCCCCAGAAGTGGCTGTAGAATAAGCTTCTCGAACTGGTCTTTTAGAGCTTTATGTGAGATAGCCGGGTCCTCGTCGAGCGTCTTCCTAACGCTAGGCAGCATCCCTGGCTCGCAGGCGACTAGATCCGTGGCGATGGTAGTAAAGAACCGTGAGGCGTTGCCACGCTCGCCCTCACCTTTCTTGAAGAAGAAGCTTGCTCCTAGCTGGCCGCGCCTGGCAAATGATTCGGCAATAGTCCGCGCAATTGTGGACTTTCCTGTGCCAGCCATGCCGCTAAGCCAGAATATAGACTTGCTATCCTTATCTTGTGCCCATTTTGCGATGTTATGCAGCAGTACGGTGCGGGTGTTTGGTAGGCATCGCGCATTGTGTTCCTCCGTATGTGAGTCGTAAGACGCTCCTTGGGCGACGGGTAGTTTAGCTAGGTCTAGTTTCTGGTCTATGCTGAACACAACAGCCCTGCATAGCTAGTAAGAAACCATTTCTGCGCACGACAGATCCGTGTATAGAAGCTTACGTCTGATCAACCTGTAGCACTAAGCCAAAGGTCTGTTCGTATCCTTCTAAGCTCGAAATAATCCTGTCCACCTGCTTGCTCGTAAACGGCCATTTGAGCGCACGTAAACCGAACCGGCTTATAGTCTTGCGGGTCTTTCCCGGTTCTAGCTTTATGTCTAGGGTTTCCAGCTCGTTCAGGCATTGTTCGACCGATTCTAGCAGCCCTTGGGTGGCAGAGAGCCGCGTCTTGTCCTGGCTGTCGAGAAGCTGCTTCATCTTCTTCAGCACGTGGTTAATGTCGCTGACCTTTCTCTGCACACGCTCGATATCGCCCTTCGCATCCTTTACGGCCATAGAGTACTGGACGCATAGCGACGCAATCTTGGCGGATATGTCGATTACTGCGATAACGCTTGCTGCGCCCGAAAGGCCATCCATAACGTGAGGTCTGCGACGGAGATAAAGTAAACCAGTCGATCACGCCTTGCGCGGTTGTAGGCTGATAGAGTAGCGAGACTGCTGTCGGGCTGAGAGCAGTAACTACTGCAATCCATCGTTCGCTGCACAAGGCTGAGAGGCTGGCACAGCTAAGCGCTGTTACATCGTAGGCGGCATGGGGTCAGAAAGGCTTTGGAACCACGATTCGCCAGAGCCCGCTTGCCCACTCTTGCTGCGCACTTGAGAGATGAGCGGAATACTACACAAACGTTATCCTATCTAATGGCTTATACTATGGTGCGATTGTTTTAGCACTTCTATAACTTGTTAGGATAGGTACAGTATCAAAGCGCTATTCGAAGCTGCGTCGTGCGCTTGCTATTTTTAGAACAAGCTCCGCTCGTCCTCTGCCGCATGTTATCAGAGCGACAGGGCGCGCTTTGGTTACGTCGAGGCTGCTCGTTACTACCCATTTGCTGGTACAGTAACATACTCGCGGCCATGTATCTAGCTAGTCAAGCACTGACTGAAGCCTTCTCTTCCGACCGGCGTGAGACATATCGTACTATGGCGGAGAAGAGCAATGTCCCTCGCTCTACCCTCCATCGTCGTAAGCACGGAGGAACGTCGAAAGAAACAAAAGCTTAGCGCCAGTAATACCTTACTGTCGAGGAAAAGAAAGCGCTTACTTTATTCTTATTAATAATGTCTAGTTTTGGGTAACTAGTTCGGATTAAATACGTACCTACGCTAGCCTTCAGCATCGCACGCCGGCGGTCCACGACGACCAATAAGCCGATCAAGCCTCTGGGTAAGAACTGGGCTCGCGCCTTCGAGAAGCGCCACCCTAAACTTAAAGCGAGACGAGTTAAGTTAATAGACTAGAAGCGCTATAAGAACAATATATACGATAAGACTATAGAGTAGTTTTAGATAATTGGCAAGGTGCTGCAGGATGCAGCTGTACTGCTAGAGAATGTATACAACATGGATAAGACAGGGGTTATGCTAAGCAAGCTTGGCTCTGTCAAAGTCCTAGTAGGTAAGGACGATAGACGCGACTATAGAGGTGCTAGCATGAAGCGGACGATGGTGACTGCTGTCGAGTGCATAAGCGCTGACGGTAGGGCGCTGCTGCCTCTCATCATCTGGCCAGCCTCGACGCACCGAAGTAACTGGACTACGTATCCCACACCTGGATAGCACTACGGGTTCTCTGAGAGCGGTTATAATAACTCTAAGATTAGCTTAGAGTGGCTTATGCGTGCTTTTGATCCCTAAACTAGAGACCTGGCTGACGGTAAACCGCGGGTGCTGATCTGCGACGGCTTCGGCACTCACGAAACGCTAGAAATTCTTGAATTTTGCCTTAGTAACAACATTATGCTATGCCGTCTCCCCTCTCATACCTCCCATAAGCTGCAGCCCTGCGATGTTGGAGTATTCGCGCCCTTGAAGACAGCCTATCGCGACCAGGTCGAGCGGCTAAATAGAGGGGTATAGATATAGTTAGTAAGGAGCACTTCACCTCGCTATACGACCCTGCAAGGACCAAGGCTTTCACGAGGCGGAATATCAAGGCCGCCTGGGCCGTAAGTGGCTTACTGCCTTTTAACCCAGAAAGAGTACTCTAAGACATGCCAAGGCCATCTGCAGAGCTCACGGTTTCTATAGCTAGTAAGGATATGCCTTCTAACCCTAGGGACGAAATACCTATAACACCTATGACGCCAGTAAATATAGAAGGTCTAGTGTCGCTTTATAACCTAATTAAACAGGACACATCTACGCTTAACGAACTAAGCAAACAGCGCCTATAAAGACGAGTATAGAAGCTGGTGAGCGCGGCTTAAATCTCGTTCGCCAAACAAGGTCTCCTGCAGGACCACAATCGACTTTTGGCTAAGATCAACGGCGAGGCCAAGGTACGCCGAGCAACTCGATCAGTCGTGCTAGGGAAGGGGAAGGCGAAGGTGATGAGCTATGAGGACCTGGAGGAGGCACGGGCAAAGCGTGCTGCTAAAGAAAAGTCTGTGGCGGAAAGAGGTAAAGTAAAGCGTGGTCGTAAGCGTGAGGCTGCCTAGAAGGATTTAGTTGTATTAGAGCTAATCACTTAAGCTGCAAGGATGAGCGAAGTTGTAGGGCCATGGAGGGCGCCCGTGGCGCGGATGTATTGATGTTAGATTAGTGCTAGAGCACGTAGTGGTGCTTAAAACACTAGTTAGTAGTCTCTTATATTAGTTAAGCTAACTACAATGATTATTTAGCTTCTGTACGATAGGTAGAAGCATACTCGTTCGCCAGGCCTCTCCGCCCATAACAATAGGCTCTCTTACTACTCGTTTTAATTAATCATACGATAGATAGAGAGCCCTATATAAAGATCTAGTCTTAATTAAGAGCTAGTTTAAGCTTATAGAGTAGATAAAGGTTAAGTACAGCATCTATAACGAGGACGTCTATAACTTTAATAAAGCTAGCTTCTTAATAGGTAAAATTACTACTCAGCTTATCGTTATAGCGTTAGAGAGAAGTGTCAAAATAAATTGGTGGAAGTAGCTGCTTNTTCTAATAGAACTCAGAGGTAGAGGTCTCTGCCTTCTACTTGTTCCTAGTAGACTTAGAGGCAGCTTATCGAAGATAATAGCGATAATAAGAAGAGAAGTTGAGAGGAGTAGATTGATCT